AAAATGTGAGCAATTGTGGATCACCTGAATGGTTGCCTTAGAACTGTGTGCTGACAATTGGTTTCAATGCTTGCATATGCATTTGTGTTTTTATTGTACCAATGGGTGTTACTATAATTATCAATAACCCCTCCCCCCAACACACACACAAGACAGAGGGACTTTGTACCCCAAAATGAAGCATCTGTGACAGATCAAGTTCAGTTAAGTCACTATCTTTTGTTATATTAACAAAGGTGTTACCTTAGTTCAAATAAGTAAAACTGTGGCCCAAGTGGTATAAGTTACTGAATTCAAAAGAACTTGTACTAGGATAGTCTGATGTCAGGAGTAAAAATCTGTTTTCGTACAAATGACATCTGTCACATCGAATTAATACTGTCAATTTGTTAGTTTAAATTTAATACGTAAATTTTTATAGTTGCATAAGAGCTATAATCATAACGTGCTTATACCTAGTTGTAGGTTTGTACAGGTCTAAACAGCAATGTACTGAAAATATCCATGTGGCCCTTCAGGTTTATGAGAACTTTTTCTTTTGAAGAGGTGTGTATATCACTTAAGTAGGCTGGAGCAGGGTCAGCAAACATTTTATGGAAAGGGCTGGATAGTAAATGTTTTAGCCTTTGTCAGCCGTGCAGTTTCTGTCGAAACTATTTAACTCTGATGTTGTAGCATGAAAGTAGCTGTTGGTAATACGTAAACAAATGAGTGTGGCTGTGTCCAATAAAACTTCGTTATACACAACAGACCCATTTGGACTTCACATGTAGTTTTGATTCTGTGCTGTAGCAAATGCCTCAGACTTCCTTCTCCATCTTCTTAAACGAACTCTTACTCACCCTTGAAGCTAAAACTTAAAACTCACTTCCTCTCAGAAGCTTTCTCTGGCTCCTTCTGGCTGAGTTTATGCTTTTGTCCTCTCTCTCTCTGCTTCTTTATATTCGCTCTGTATTACCATAACACTTTCAGAAAACTCACGTGTATTGTTATTGGGTATTACATGACCATTTCACTATCTTCTTCTCTAGGTTGAGCTCTCCCTTCTCTGCAGCATGAACTGCTCCACTCTTATAATTATTACCTTGCACCACCAAATTTAGAGGATTGGTGGAAAGAACAGAGGAAATATGAAAAAGTGTGAATTTCATATTGACCTCATATTTACCCAAAGAAATCGAAAGGAAAAAAAGTCCTAGAAATGCCTGAGTTTTCTTTGAATTGGCAAAGTTAGGTAGTTTTCCTTCTGTGGAAATGGGAGCTTGTAAGCTAAGTCACCTTTGAAGAAATAAAGGGAGTTTTATGTTTGTACCTCTGGGTTTTGTGACTGTAAAATTTATGCCTGTGATAGAAGTTATTTAACTTTGATGAAAGGAAGGAATCAGCTGAGAAATAAAAAACAAACAAGAAAAAAGAAGAAAACATATTGTGTATATTTGATGTAAACATATTGTATATGTTTAGGGTGGGTAGACATTTGGAGATGTAATAATCGAAGTTTGGATTTGGGGCAAGAGGAAGCCCAGGACAGGCCTGAGGGCTGTGGAAAGGGTGGGGGCCAGGCAGTAACCCTGAACACTGGGCAGGGCGAGATCAGGGGACTCAGAGACCAGCAATATTGTATATTGAACTTTGCCTTTCCCTTTGTTCTTGGCCGTCCTCTATCCTGCTCTTCCCTGCCCCGTTTCTGTATTTCCATTTTCTCTACATGTTTCTACCCTGCACTGTCTTCTTCTGAACTAGCTGTAATATGGAACCAAAGTAAATACTTTATTATTTAAATTTTCTTTTCTTTTCTCTATTCTAAAGTTTCTATGTAGGTCAGTTGATCCCTCGCTTCTTAAATAAAATAAGAATTCAAATCACTTTTAACTTTCAGAATTTAAAATATTTTTCCCTATCACGTGTAAGAAAAAAATGATTTTCACTATGGTTACATATTTTAGGGAAAACTCAAATCATAAAAATACAAAGTTAAGGATTACTCTTTTGTTCTATTTGATAATATAATTATTTCACTTAAAGAAAAAAAGAGTATATAAAAAAACTGGGTAATTTTATTAAGACATGAATGACTAACAGTGAAAATCCTATAAGAAAAGTTCTTTTTCCACAAAACGGCAGTGGTATAAAAGCAGGGAGAACTCCCAGGCCTACCATGACCGCCACCATCACCACACACACATGTGCACATACAAGGTGGTGGGAGAAGGTCTGTAGCCGAGTTTCCTAATCAGAAAAATATCTTCGAAAATTTAAAACCAAGTTGCAAGTTGTAAGGTTTAAGGAGTGATCCTAAGACTAGACTATATCCTTGGCTAGATCTCTGAGCAGGCCTTTTTCTATTTGTGATTTAGATCTTTCTATGGGAGTGTCAAGATTATATACACACTTACACACCAGATACAGGTCACATATTTATCACTAATGAACAGCAGATAATAAAATCCTCAATGGGAAATGGCATTGGACATACTTCGTTGTTCAGATTACTGTTTATTATTTGAGAAATGTTAACACTGATCTGCTTGTCATCTGATTATTAAAATAAAAAAGTCTTTTACCCTAAGTAGTTCTCATTAGATGATGATATCAGTGATTTTATGCAAACATGTTGACATTTTATCGTATTATATTTCTAACAGGGTCCAAATTTCAGACAATATTTTTTATAAAGACCTAGGGTCACCCTTTATCCCTTTAGTGGTCCTTCACTAGAAATATCGTCACCATCATCACACCACTGAGAGCTTGTGTGCCACACATTGCATGTGTAGTGACTCAATGCTCGCACTGACCATATGAGTTCTATGATTACCCACATTACAGATGTGGAAGAAGATTCAGAAAGGGTAACTTGCCCAAAGTCACACAGATGGTAAGCAGCAGGCCAGGAAGACATCCCAGACAGCCTGGCTCCTGAGGCCTTATGCTTCACCTCCATGCTTTCCTTCTTCTCAAGATTCTCATTCCCAAGTGAGCCAATTTTCTCTAATCGACTGCAGGATATTCTTCTCCCGTCTGTGTCTATCTGTGATCTATATCCACCATTCGTGAATAAAACCAATAAAGCTTTGTCTGTATAAATGACCTGTGTTAATGTTTCTTGGCATTAAGATGGCTCATGGGGAAATAGAAATTATATTTGCAGTCCTTGTCTGGTTTCCTCAGTAATGGATTATGTCTACAGGATATGAATTCAACTGGTTGAAAAGTGAAAGAATCATTATTAATAACGGTACAGCTGACATCATAGGGCTCCTGATGTGACACATTGAGAAGGACACAACATCGCCTATGTGATAGTACTGCCAAAATGTTTCACCTGAATCTAATCATGAGGAAACAATCAGATACATACACATTAAAGGACGGTCTGCAAAGTAGCTGGTCTGGACTCTTCAAAGGCATCAATGTCATAAAAGATAAAAAGGCCTAGGAGCTCTTTAAGATTGATAGAAACTAAAGAAATGGGACAATGAAATGCAGTGCATGGTCCTTGTCTGGATTCTGGATCAGGGGAAAAACAGCTATAGAGGACACTTTTGAGACAAAGAAGAAATTTTGAATATGGACTATACATCAGATAATGTTAAATTTCCTGAGCGCGCACGCGCGCACACACACACACACACACACACACATGCACACGCACACATGCACACACACACAGAGCAAGTTAAAATGTTAACAATTAGTGAATCCAGATGAATGATAAATAAATGATTGTAGAACTATTCTATGCTATAATTTTAAGAACAACTTTTCTGAAGGTTTGAAATGTCAATAATTAAAAAAAAAAAAAACATATATGGGACTGAGGAAAGGAATGGAGATATATAGATTAAACAGGATTATCCCAGAGTTAGACATGGTCAAAACTGGGTATTGAATACACAGAGGTTTAGTATATTATCTTACTTTTTATGTATTTGACATTTTCCCTAACACAAAGGTTTAAAAAACAGAAAGATTCCATCAGATTTAATGGTTCCGATTCTCACTAAATGATGAGGATTAACTGCCATGAAGATTTTTTTCCCTTTCTGTATCTTGCCCTCACCCCAACTCCTACCTAGCCCAGCTGCCATTTCCCTTGGTTGGATCCCAACTCCACCCTCTTCCCCCATTTTCATCCAGCCCCAAACCAAAGTGGTGTAGTTGTTGTTTTTAATTTTATCAAGTTGTTGTTTTTAATTTTAATTTTAATTTATGGCGGTCGTGGTAGGCCTGGGAGTTCTCCCTGCTTTTATACCACTGCCGTTTTGTGGAAAAAGAACTTTTCTTATAGGATTTTCACTGTTAGTGAAAAACTGATTTTATCGTCTCACTTAAAACCCTTCAAGTTCTGCCCATCCTTTTAGGAGAAAACTCACCACCCTGCACAGCCTTCCCCCCTCACTCTCTACCTCCTTTCCCTGGGTTCCGGGCTCATAGCCAGTGTAGGTCTTTCATTCTTATCGCATCGTTCTCCACAACTATAGAACAGCTGGCCCCTCTCTAGAATGCCCCTCTTTGCTTACTTAGTGCTTATTCAGTCTTCAAGTATCACTTCTTTATGAAATCCTTTCCTGGTCTATCTGGTTAGGGTAAAGCCCCCAGGATGGGCTTTTGTGGGAGTAGGAACATTTCTTTGGTAACATCCTAACTGAGCAGATTTATGCTTTCCTTTCTCACTAGGTTGCAAGCTCTCTCTTTGCATTGCTTACCTTATGTCCATAGTAGGTACTTGATATTGATACATATTTTTTAATACATAGTTAAAAAAATTTTTTTCACTAAAAATTTTAGAATTTTGGTTTTGATAGAGTTCTATAGTATTTATCTTAAAAAGGATAAGAGATTATTTCAAAGTTTAATTTCAGTTTTCTTTTTCTTTTAACTGAGGCTAATTTCAGTTCTTAAGTTGATGTGGTCCCCTCTGACAACATAGAAACATTATTGTCATAATGCTCCTTGAAAAGTTGGATAAGTCACTTGGTTTCTCTTTCCTTTCACAGTCGATGACTTCATGCAAAACGATGCAGCAGTTCACATCATTCTGTCAGTCCCCATCAAGGAAATATTGTTTTCCAAAATTAAAATTATGAATCAACTCACAGGAGAATGTCGTCAAATAAACAAAGAATCATCAGTTATATTACACTGCCAACTTTTTGATAAGCTTAATTCTTCTAAATGCATTTAACTTTAAGGAAGAGTAATACAATTTAATAACAACATAAAATGGGATCGTTTATCTTCCAAGTCCTAGATATTGGGCAGATGTCTTCTCTCTTCTTCTTAATATATTGTTTCAAACACAAAATTTTTTTACTTTTCCCTTCTCCTCCTGATTTGTTTCTCCTCATTTCTATATATGTGGTTTGGGGAATGAGCTCTATGTATATGTTTAACTAAATCGCTCATCAGGCTGTAGTTTTCACAGTTGTAAATCTCTGAGATTTGTGGATTTAAGTTCCCAAGGCAGTGCTATTTATATGGCCTAATACAATTTGGTAATTATTAGCATATTAGTAATGGTTATTTTAGTTGCAAGTGACATAAAACCAAATTCAAACTGATTTAAACAAAAAGAGAAATTACTGGCACATGTAAGTGGGAGATGAAAGATGGATGCTGGTTTCAGGGGCTCAGATGGGGTGAATTGGTGCTTCCCATCTCCTGGCTTGCTTTCCTCTGTGCCACCTTCATTCTCAGGTAAGCACTCTCCTTACCTGTAGCAAAGGAGTGTTCATGAAGCAACACAGTAGGTCATTCACTGATACTGAGTGAACTTTGGATATTTGCAAATGAGGCAAGGGGCTCCAACTGAGACCAAACTGGGATTTGGGGTCTCCTTGTGTGTCTGTTCATGTGATCTGTACTTTTGTTTTCTTTTTTCTTTCTTTTTTCTTTTTTGGCTTAAGGAGAGGTTTTGTTATAAGGCTCTGGGAGACAGGCAAGGTGAGGAGGCATCACGTGGTGCCATGTCTCCTACATGACCCAAGAAGCAGTTTTTGAACCTCTGCGAGAAGCACAATTATAATAGAAGGTGAAATCAGTGCAGCACAGTTTGGATGCATCAAGGGCATGATAGCTTTGAAATGCTTCCAGGAGGCAACGTCAGTGCAAGATAGGACAGCATGGCACAGAGAAGGAATGACGAGCCTGAAGGCTATAGTCTCATTTTTGAACACCCTCTAGGAGACTTCCAGAGCTGCTTGGGTGATTGGGGTGGAGAGGCAGATTGGGGCAGAGAAACAATGCAGAAGACATCATCAGAGTTAAATCAGAGTAAGTGAATGTGAAGATATAAAGAAATAGTATTGTGTGTTGACAACTATTTCAAGTTGATAACTCAGTAAAATACACTGCTTATATAGAAAGCCAGTGGCATTATCACAGGATGTTTTTCATTTGTTGCCTATAAAGAAGTCATGTTATTGCTCTGAATGGGCTTTCAAAGATAGAACCAGTGTTAGAAGAGCCGTTTCAGACATGTTGCAAATAACCGAGCAACGTTAAGATTCCTCACAAGAACACTCTTCTTATATAACTTCTTCTCTGGTTAAAAGCATTTAAAATTTTTAAGAACCATATATAATAGAATTTCAGGAATTATACATTCAAATCAGTCATGTGGTCTACAAAAGTTAACTGTAAATTGTTATCTAGATAAAAGCCTCTATTACTTTTGTTTGTATAAGCTCGGATTGTAAATAAAACTGCTGCCAGAAGAATGCTCATTAAAGTGGATTTAAGATTCCAAATGAAAAGTTATTGATTTCAAAAAGGATAAACAACACTAAGCCTCTAATATCATCTGAAGTTATTAAATTACCAATTTAGTTACTGTTATTTTTTTTTACTACCTTGATTATTTATTAAGTAAATTGTATAATATGTTTGAAATGAAACTGAAACATATCAGCCAATAGTTGTTTTCCACAGACATTTAGAAATTAATGATGCTGAAAAATGGTGATGAGTTTTGGTCTCCCTTGCCCCAAATTCCTAGCCCTCATAAAAAAAAAAAAAAAAGTCTACTTCAAGATTACGATGGAAGTCAGATGATAAATTTTTAGCCACCAGCATCTAGCCAAGAGAGCCTGGCTTAGCCCTATCACACTTGCAATGTATATTTATGTGCTGTACCATTTGGCCATTATAATGAAAAGTTTTATCTGTCCCTGGAGGCAAAATTGAGTTATATATTAAATGACTATTTTCTTTGTTTTCTGCTTAGGTATGCATGTAATGTGGTAGCATAATATATATTCCACACTTGTTTCATTCCTGCAGAGAGATAATATTTTTGCAGCTGACATAGTAAAGATATCCTGTGCTTCCAGAATAAGAGAGAACATATTGGCAGGATAAAATACAGATGTTCCCAGTGTTTTTTTCTGCCTCATGGTTGCTTTCAGCAGAGGTTAACGTTTATGGGCATATTTCTCTGTCTTTGTTTGGACAGTTGGACACAGAAGTTCACAGTAAATTTAAGATTGTAAAAGGTGATCTCAAGTAAAGTATTTTAAAAAGATCTTAGTGGTAAGAAAATAACTTAAAAATTAATTTCCTCTACACTCTCACAAAAGGCTCTTTTCATAAGAATGTTGGAATCAAAATAACTTTCCCGCTTCTCTATAAGGAAGGAAATTGATGTATATAAAATCTTTTTCTTAAAGAATTTTTTCTCAAGTGAGGAGTAAATACAAAATTTCTCTGTCATAATCTAGAAAAAATAAATGTAAGCTTCTGAGACAAAGATGGTATCCTAATCATATGGTTGATCCTTTCTTTTTTCCCATTTCAGAAAGGAACAATCTAAGGAATGTAAAGGAAATATAAAGATATCATTGTGTATCATTGTCAGAAACTTCTCATCCAAATATCTCTGAAGCTGAGGAGTTTTAGCTGGAAGGGAGTGAATAAAGGTGATACCAATGAGCCACTACTCACATTTTGGCTGTTCACCCTGGAAAAACTAATTCTTTCTCCTGAAGGATAACAGAAAAATTGCCAGCTAAGAAATCAGTAGTTCAAATGAGGAGGATCAAATATGAGCATTCAGATGAAATAATCTCTAGTAAAACAGAGGTACTACAGAATAAAGGGAAGAACTTTGGGCTGAGAGCTAATTTTCTTAGATTCAAAAGGGTTTTATATTAAATTTTTTAAGTTTGGACTTCTACAAAAATGTAAAAACATTGAGAAACAAAAAATAAGTCTTGGAAGTTAACAAAAGAAAAAAAGAGTAACTATGGGATATTTTACCGAAATGCAGATCATAAACTCTAAGAGTTAGTTCAAGAGAAAAATCAAGAGGCAGAAAATATTGAAGCAGAAGAAGCAATATGGTTATTATAGGAGTTCCAGAAGGAGAAACTAGTATGAATGAAATGAAAATGAATGAAAAGCAATAATCAAAGAAATGAAAGAAGACAATTTATTTAAATTGAAAGATTCAGCCTTTACATGAAAAAGATTTACCAAAGACTGGGCAAGTGTAATAAAAAGAAATCATACTCAGGTGATTTTCCATGTCCTGAATAAAGAACAAATGCTAGAAACAACCAACTAGGGGGGAAAATTGTCACCTTGGGGGGGGGTGGAGTTTGAATGGCATTAGACATCTTATTTGCAACACTAATGCTAGAAATCCTCAGAAAATGTATAGATTTCTGGAGAAAAAGTATTATGTTCCAAGAATCATATACCAAACCAAGCTATTATATTAAGGCGAGGGCAAATGAAAGTCTGGTTCAGATTTGTAAGAATTCAGAAATTATATGACTCATGTATGCTTTTTGAAAAATATAACTTAAAGTACACCTTCAAGCAAAAACTAATCTAAACAAAGAATTTAATAAAGATAAAGATACATTTTAGAAAAAAAAAGCAGTGAGCAATAAAAACAGATGTAAGTCTAAAGAATTGTTTGTAATGTGACTATGAAACTAAGTACAATTTGTAACAAAGGATTTTAAAAGAAAAATATATATTTAAGAAATATTTTCTCTAAAGATATGGGGTGAAGAGAAGGATGGAGAAAGAGAAAATAAAGAGTAATAAAGTTTTTATGTGACACAAGAAGGGTTCATAGTTGTAACTGCATTCTTGACATTGATGAAGAATAAATTAAAACATATTTTAAAAAATTTTAAACAAAACCAATTTAAAATGAGACCTTAAAGAAGAAAGGAAAAAGTGTGTGTGTGTGTGTGTGTGTGTGTGTGTGTGTGTGTGTGTGTGTGTATGGGGGGGGCGGGGGGGGGGGGAAAAGAGGGAGAATGACAAAAAATATAATTAAAAGAATGCATGAAATAAGATGGAAAGAATAAAAATAAAAATATCAATTAGGTTCCTCTATTAACTTCTAGACCATGATGGAGTAACTGCTATTAGATTTACCTTTCCACTATAACCTGAACAAAATATGTAAGGTGATTATATTTAGGCATTGAAAAATAGGCAGTGCAGGACTAGAGTCCTAGTGAAACAGGAAATATATGAGGTGAGCATAGCATTCAACCTGATTTGATGTCTAAGAGCAGTTTCCTGAATGTGGCACAGAAAGATGGAGCCCATATGAAGAATATCAATCTTATTGAGCTGAGGAGGCAGAAATTGAAACAAAGAGGATGAAAAGGCAGCTGGAATTTGCAGGATAGGGTTCCAGAGAGGAATGAGCTATAAAGAAAGAAGGTCTCAGAAGTCTGTGTGGTGATTGTTCTTAACTTTTTGACTAAGAGCTGCTCGGGGCTTTGCATGTGCAGGTTAAGATTCTGTAAGACCTCAAGATTCTGCAAGACAGTAGCTATTGTGGAGCTAAGAAATGAATGGAAGTGCTAGAGGTAATTCAGTGCTAAAATATATTGGATTTTTGGTCCAACCATAGTGGAAAAACTCCACGGAGCACACCAAGCATTCAAAGGAGACAACAGAAAGGCCACACTTTAAGAACAAGAGGGAAGATCATATCCTAGGAGTAAGATCAAAATCAATACAGTCTTGCCCAAATAAAGCATAAAATTAGGCCTAAAGGATCAAGAGAATGAGATGGTTATGTAGTTACTGGCCAGAACCAAACACTACACCTTTAAAAGGGAGATGACATAATATATATAGATGCTATGCAATATATTATTCATAGCATGCAGCATACAATAAAAACAATTACTACATATGCAAAGAAATAGGAAAATGGGATATGTAATCAAGATAAAAAAGCAGGCAATAGAAATAGATCTTGATAATTATTCAGATTTAGGAGTTAGGACACAGTTTTAAAAATAGTGATTATAATCATGTTCAAGGATTTAAAGAAAAACATGGACATAATGAAGGAATAGGTGGGAAATCTCAAAAAAATATGAGATATAAAGTATCAATTGAAAATACTAGAAATGACAATTTCCATCAATGGCTGAAGAGGTGATTGGGTACTGTGGAATAAAAAATATGAGAACTTGAAAATAGATCAATAGAAAATGTCAAAACTGAAAAATAAAAAAATAGATTTTAAAAATGAACAGAGCCTCAGTATCTTGTAGAATGATATCAGTTGTTCCACATATAATTAACATCTCAGAAGAAAAAGAACAAGAGAATGAATCAGAACTATTTGAAGAAATAATAACCAAAAATATTTAAAACGGCGAAAAAATCAGTTTGCAGATCTAAAAAGCTCATAAAATTCAAAGCAGTATGTCTTTCAAGATTCTCTTTAAGAGTGGAGGTTAAAATATTTTTCAGATGACTGTAAACTGAAGGAACTTGTTTATAGTAATCATGGCACTAAAAGAAATGCTAATAATGAAAACTATAAGATCCTATTGAAAGAAATCAAAGAAGATACAAAGAAATGGAAAAATATTCTATGTTCTTGGATTAAAAGAATCAACATAGTCAAAATGACCATATTACCTAAAGCATTATACAGATTTAATGCAATCCCCATCAAAATCCCATCGGCATTTTTTAAAGAAATAAAACAAAAAAAATCATCAGATTTGTATGGAAGTACAAAAGACTCTGAATTGCCAAAGCCATCTTGAGAAAAAAGAATGAGGCTGGAGACATCACTCTGCCCAATTTCAAATTATACTACTAAGTGACAATAATCAAAACGGCATAGTATTGTCAGAAAAACAGATACATGGACCAGTGGAACAGAATCGATAGTCCAGAAGTAAACCCATGTTTATATGGGCAAATAATTTTTGACAAAAAAGCCAAAAACATTTAGTAGAGAAAGGAAAGCTTCTTCAATAAATGGTGCTGGGAAAACTGGAAGGCCACCTGCAAAAGAATGAAACTAGATTGTTGTCTATCGCCACACACCAAAATTAACTCAAAATGGATTAAGGATCTGAATATAAGATCTGAAACAATAAAATGAATAGAAGAAAATAGGAACTAAACTCAAGGACTTTGCACTTAAGGATTTTAAGAATTTGATCTCAAAGGCAAGGGAAGTAAAAGCAAAAACAAATGAATGGGACTACATCAAACTAAAAAGATTCTGCACAGCAAAAGAAAGTGTCAACAAGGTAGAGACAACCATTGAATGTGAAAATATATTTGCAAGCAACACCTCCAATAAGGGCCTAATATCCAGAATATAAAAGGACTCATATAACTCAATAACAACAACAAAAAACAAATGATCCAATCAAAAAAGCAGGTAATTCTCCCTAGAGGACATACAAATGGCCAACAAATACTTGAAAAGATGTTCAACATCTCTAACTATTAGAGAAATGCA